TCATGGAGCTCCTTGCAGTTTCTGGCTCTTCCATCTGAGAGAAGAATTGGGTTTTTTGGGGGGTGGGGAGGGAATATGTGGATCAGTTCAGATGCTTTCTGTTCTGAAAATATATGTGATGGGACAATTACAGGTTTCTATGCAAGAACTTCTCCAGTGAAATCACCATGATGCCTATTGTAGGAGAACAGATACATGTTGGTATGCAATAGTATTTAAAGAATTAAAGAAAATATTTATTTATTTATTTATAAAATTTATATGCCATCCATCTCATATCCAATGATTCTGAGCAGCTTACAGCATGTAGGCTTAGATCAGTGGTTCCCAAAGTGGGCAATACCCCGCTTAGGGGGTGCACTAAGAGGCAAGGGTGGTAGCAGGGGGTGCACTAAAAGGTGCTAAGAGGCATGGGGGGGGCAGCAGAGGAGTGCTGGAGGTGGGCCCCTCGCAGGGTGCAATTCAGTGGTGAGAATCTATGGTTCATAACCATTCCTGGTAGTTCAGAGAATCAGTAAAATGGGCCCCTGGATGATCCCGCTCCTTTCCGCCCGCTCCTCCGTTCCCTGCCTAGTCAGTCCTTATTGCACATGTGCGTCATTGCGTGCATGCATGACAATTGCTGATGGCCACAGTGGCACATTGGAGAAGCAGAGCAAGCAAAGCCAGAGGTCAGTAATTTTCGCTGCAAAAAGCTGCACCGAAAAAAACACGCGGCAGCTGCAGGCATTCGTGACAAGGGCGATGTGGGCTGGCGGGGAGCCTAGTGACAACAATAGCTCAGCCCTGGCATCCAGTCACAGGAGGAAGATAAAGTCATGGCTGTGGGACGACAAAAGAGGTGGTCGTGGGGGAGGAAATGGGGAGATTAAGGCCCGGGGCCTCTGAAAGGGGAAACAGGGTGATGCAGGAAACAGAAAGAGAGAGAAAGAGAAGGAACAGACAAGAAAGAAAAGGGAAAGAAAAAGGGAGAGAGAAACAAAGAAAAGAGATAGATAAGGAAGGAAGGGGGGATAGAAGGAAGGGACAGAAAGAAAGAAAGAAAGAAAGAAAGAAAGAAAGAAAGAAAGAAAGAAAGAAAGAAAGAAAGAAAGAAAG